AAAAAAAAACACGAATGAAAAGTAACAAAGAGAAAATTCAAATGAACATCTGTTATTTTGTTGGAAATAGACAGAACAGCGTGCATATACGAACAAAAAATAAATAGGGAAACACATGATTGTACACGTTAGATAAATAAAGAAAAGATAGAAGAAACACAAAAAAAAAAAAAGAAAAGAAGTCTAATCGAATACAATCCCTGAGAAGAAAGAAAGAAATTAAATTAGTATTTCTCTTTTTTAATCAAGAACTATACATGTATCATCATCAAATGAATTCAATGGAGTCTTGCGTATTTCTTTTGAATTTAATATAAATACAGTTTGAATTTTTCCTTCTAATGGTTGTCGTTTAGGAAAATAGAAAAATTCCACAACACGTGTTAAAATTGAATCAATTATTGAATCATAAATATTTAATGATAAATCATTACCATGTTCAAGCCAATGTGAATGTAATATGTCACTATTTGTAGTTTGTGCATCAATATATTCACGTTTTGAACAAACAAAACATTTTAAATAAATACGTTGATATGTTAATGTTGTTTGATCATTATCAGATATATCAATACAACAATCATTGTCAGATGTTTTTTTAAAACGTTTTGAATCATTATATGATGATGATGATGTTGTTGTTGTTAATTTTTGTTTAACAGTTGTTTTTTCAGTTGTCATGGTTGTTATTGTTGTTCGTGTTGTTGTAGTTTTTGTTGTTGTTTGATTTAATGATTGTCGAACTTTAGGAATAGAAGAATCTTCTTGTTGAGATGTATTTCGTAATGATCGTTTTATATTTGACTATGATGAAAAAAATAAAATTTATTTAAATTATTCTAAATATAAATACAAACTGTTATAGCAATATTTGTTTGATTATCTTCAATTGAATTTTTCATTATCTGATCAATAGTTGATTGTTCCAAACGATCAAGTACAACATGACATTGTAGAGTTGAATGAATATATTGACCCATCGGAGTTCTTCTTGTATTATTACGAAAAGTATTGGTTGCCATAGTAATGAATTCTGTATAGAAAGAAAGGATTTATTTTAATAAATATTTCATAATATTGAACAAAATGATTTTTCTATTTATGTTTAAATCTTTAGTTACCGACGATGCGCATATGTATGATATAAGCTTTGCCATTGTGTGAAACTAATGCAATCATTCATAATGCGTGTTTTTTGTTTTCGGATACATTAGCGTAGAAGCAAACGTTCGGCAGTAGAAGTCTTCCATATTATCTTTCATTTTATGAAAAAAACCAATATCAATATGTCAAGTTTGACAACAGTTAGAATGATTTTTCAGAAAAATTCTTTTTCTTTCTCTTATATCGGTAACCAAAGGGTTAACACATATCGACATATCTTTAGTATCTAATCTTTCGTTTTATTTACAAATACTTTTGCTGCTTATCAGATCACGGACATAAATTTCAAGATAAAGGATGTTCTAGAGAATGCATAGAATAATGCCCTATAGGAGCAGTATAAAATTTCAAAAAAGATTTCTTATCTAATTTGTTGAGTAAGAGCAAAGAACTTTCATTTAAAGAAAGTTTATATTTTCTAATATCTCTTCTTTTACTTCATCAGAAATGTATAATACAATAATGACAAAAATTGAACTCGTTATGCATAACACGATTTTTTCAAAACCACGAAAAATAAAACATTGTTTGTTTTGGTCTTGAATAAATCAATGTTTTTGAAGCCCTAGATGATCTTTAGATATATTACGATCGAATTTTTGTTATCAAGAAGAAATCCATCGATAAGAAAAACTCGAAAATTCCGACACGATCAATACACAATGTACACTTACTTAAGTCACGTATGTAGTTATCATGCATGCAAGTATTTTATTTTTCGTCATGAAAAATAAGAATATAAACGTAAGTTTATAGCCATCAATTTGTCACTCATACCATATTGTGTAGCATACGCTCAGAGGGAATCATTTCAACCCAAATTATAGACAATACGGTGAATAGAAATTACAAAAAAAAAAAAATCTAATATCAATTGACCAGAAATCATATCTAATTAAGCACATATTCTATCAATTGAAAGAAAATCTTCTATATATTTTGGTATAGAATTTAATTCAATTAGATTTTTTTTTCATTGATTTGCGGCATCCATCATAGATATATAGTTTTCGTCAATCGGTACATTACCTGACTTCGATACTTTTCGTTTGTTTGATTTTTTGTTTATTGTTTTTAATGTACGTGTCTGTGATACTGAACGTGTTAAAAGACATTCGTGTGTTATTTGATCGTTCACTGAACAATATACTTCAATATCATGTGTAATTGATAAAAATTTTAAAAATGGTAATAATATATATAAAGCTTGTCGTACACGTTGACCATATTTAGGTAAAGGTAGTAAACAAATAGGAGCTGCTAATCGTTTTGCTAATGGTCGTAATATTGAAATAGATCTCGATGATTTTTTAGTCTTACGTCGAAGACCAATATATGCTAGATATTGTTCTTTATCGATATCATCCACTATTTCATCATCATCATCATCATTTGATATATCGAAAATTTCTTGAATTGCCGTTTTTGTTATTTGATGATTAGTATTATTATTATTATTATTGTTATTATTTACATCACTTTTGATTGCTTTTTTTAATTTAATTGGTCTATGAATTTCTGATATTGAAATAATTGAAGAAGATGATGATGATGATAATGTAGTTCGAGGTAAAATTGGTGCAAATTGTGATCTTGTTGAGATTACTTGTATTTGATAGATAATCGGATTTGATGTATAACATGCAGCTGCTGTCATATCAATCGAGAATTCGAATATAATTATAGAAGAAGAACAAATACACCTATTTCTATATAAAATTATCTAAATAAGAAAAAGAAAAAGAAAAAAAAAGAATTTTGCATTCATTTGCAAAACTTTCTGTAGATGACGCTTTTATGGTGTGATATTTTCTATATGAGTAACGGTGAGTCAAATAAATATATAATAGAAACTCAACGATGCGTTAATTGATATCATCAATGAAGTATGAAGATGTCATTTAAAGTTTTCGTTTTATCAAAGTTTTTTTTTTATGAACTAATCCAACACTGATTTCCTCATGGTCAACGAGTAAATATAACCCAAACAAACATGCAACAAAATAAAACAATATCATGGATCGTTGTCGTTTCTTGACAGTGGGTAGTAGCGCCTAACGTAATGACCAATCATTGATAGATTATTTTTTTCGAAAAAATTTAAATAAAATTTTGATTTTTTAATGCATATAAAGATTTGTTTTCAAATATTCTAATTAAATATAAAGTTAAATAATTTAATAACGTCCTCTATCTGTTACCATAACAACTTGTTTGAATTACAACGGTTGTATGGTGGTGTCGCCACTGAATCATAGATCATCATAAAATTATTCTATAATCAAATCTTGTCAGAAAAAAGAAAACTGAACTGCTTATAGTCATTTCTTTTTTGTTTTAAATCGAGCTTTTTTTACCAATTACAGTGCAATTATTTACAAATCAGGGAAAAGAACACTTGTTAATATCTACACACATTGATCATGGCAGCTTCAGGTCGTCTTCAAAAAGAACTTGAAATAAAATCAAGAAAAGCTTTGGCAGTAGCAAAAGATCCATTAGCGCGTCTACAGGCAGCATGTTTAGCTCGAGGCGCACAAGGTATTAAAGGATTATCAATGTATGTATTTGTTCCTATTGGATTATTCGTTCATGAATGAAAGAAATAATTTCTTATCTATGATTTTTATTTTAGATTATTTCGAATTATGGATGATGACAAGAATAGAAAGTTGAGTTTGGAAGAATTTACAAAAGGTGTTGAAGAATATGGCCTAAGCTTTTCAAAAAATGATATTGCAGAGTTATTTCGTTTATTTGATACTGATCATAATGGTAGTATTGATTATGAAGAATTTCTACGTAGATTACGAGTATGTTTTTAAATTTCATTTATACTTTAATTAATTAAATAAAATTTTTTTAAAGCCTCCAATAAATAATTTTCGTCTTGAGTTAGTTGCTAAAGCTTTTGCTAAACTTGATAGGTATTTAAAAACAAAAATTATTTTGAACAAAAGAAAAAAAGTAAAAATAAATATTCTAAATAGAAATCACGATGGTCAATTAACAGTTGAAGATTTACGTGGCGTGTATAATGTGCAAAAACATCCCAAATATATGAATGGTGAATGGAGTGAAGATCGAGTATTACGACATTTTCTTGATTGTTTTGATTATGGAAAACATAAAGATGGTATTGTAAGTATAATATTCGATTTTATTTACTATATATAATAATTATTATTCATAGGTAACACGTGAAGAATTTATTGATTATTATTCCGGTGTTAGTGCTTCAATTGATAATGACATGTATTTTGATTTGATGATGCGAAATGCATGGAAACTTTAAATTAGCTCTTTTATTTTTAAAACCTCAATGATTAACTAATACTTAGCAATTTATTAATGCAATGCTTTTTTTTTTATAATCTGTTAGTAATATTTTTTAGTATTATTTCATGGATGTTGATAAATGTGCAACTCATAGTGAATATGAAAAATGACTCATGAAAAAATACATATACATCTTTTAAGCTTAATCTACTTATAAGTGCTTTTTCTTCTTTTGTTTTGAATGTATATCTTTAAATTTTCTTCGTTTTGTTTCTTTTTTTTATAAATTGAACAAAAAAACCGCAAATTCATCTTACGTCAATATGAATACATGCAAGGATATGATTCAGCTCAATATACAGCTTTTTTTCAGTATTTCATTATAATATGAGATCATTCTAGACTTCATAGTTTTGTTATGAATGTATATAAACTGAATATATCTCCGGCTTTTCTTTTAAAAAACTGTCATACATTCATATTACATAATTGAACTAATGTCGCACGATCAACTAATATTATGAAACGTGAAATAAAGATTCTCATGAGAACTCTCTATAATAATATTAATAAACAAAAAACAAAAATAAAGAAAAAAGAACTATTGATTAATATAGTCGTTGATACCAGATTTATAATTGCTGAGTTAACAATTCAACAAACCGAGAATAGTATCTCTTAACGAACTATGATTTTCAATAATAGATTTAAGGAAACAGGAAGACATTGTTGTATATGATATAGAATAAATTTAGTAACTTATTAGAGTTGAAAAAGGGACTATGTTTGAAAGACATTGCTGCAACTAATGAGCAATAGAATTGTTTTTATCAATGGTTAACAAAAGGGTATGACCGCTTTTCAGTAATAATCAACGTCTGAATATCAATTTTCGGATATTTGACAAGTTGAAGATTAGTACATTGAGCTTTAGTAATTGTTATTTCATAGATTATTCACTCATGATGATTCTGATGAGTTAATAAATCTTATCCAATTTTATATGAATCAATATCTCCTTTTTCCTATTTCTATTGTTGAAAGCTGTAAAATGTCAAGATATGTCACTCTCGAATTTTTTCGTTTTTGATAGGAGATCTTTAACTCTAGTATTAACATGTCCAATTTTGATAGAAAAATTTATCAATGATAATAAACCAGTTAGGTAACAGTCTGAATCTAAATCTGACAAAAAATACTTGATAAGTCATAAAACATAAAGATGAAAATAGAAAATCAAAACAAACTGGAATGAGTTTTAAAAATCTTGATATTAATATTATAATGTACTGTACATTGTGTATGGAAAACGGATGTCTTCCTATTATATTTGTTCCATAGATGAGTCAAGAAATTCGCTTATTATTTAATATATGAAACAATTTAAGTTGATATATATATATATAAAAAGAAATACCTGAAAAACAAAATGTTCAAGTGTTTTTTATTCAATTTAACTTTGAATTTACTATAAAGTCAAAGATAGTAGCCTTGATGGATCGTGTCATTTTAAGAGCAATTCTTTTCTCTGTAAGGTTTTATGCCATCTGTCACGCGTTATTCAAATAAAATAGGAACAAATAATTCTATTTCTTGATAATCACATCCGATTTTGACACTGTTTGACATACATATGGCACAAATAATATTATCAAAAACGTTTAGATTGACTTTAAGGTGTTGTACTGATAAAAGAAAATATTTAGTTCTAATATATCAAAAGAAAACTCATATAACTTTCAAAATTTGTCGAAAAAATTGTGAAGTTTAATGAAAGTCTTTATACTCTTAAGACATATGAGACAAATGGATGTACAAAGTTATTCGATCATATTTAAATCACTTATCTACAAAGGAAAATAAATAGATAAGCATCTTGAATTTATTGACATTAATAGAAAACTAATTATTTTGATTTCTCTTCTTGAAAAAAGTTTTGTTAACCCATGAATTTTATTACAATCGATTTGCAACATAGCTACGATCATACTGCGATCACACTATAGCCTGTAATTGCAAAATCTATTGACATTACTACGTATCAACACAATGTTTTTTTTTGTCGTAATTACACATAATTGCAACTCTTCCATCGTAACCATACATAACTACGATCATAATATGATTGTATCTATGACAATAACTGTGGTACAATTATGAATCACAGTGTGATTGCACTATGGCCATAACTACGTTAAAAATCAATTAAATCGAGTACATAAGAAGTTGAAGACAAAAACTGAAAAAACCTAGTCTACCTGGAATTCTAAAATCAGACGTAATCCATATCTGATAGCCATTTATGCTAGAGTTATACTTATTTTGTCTAATAAAGGAATCTTTCCAGGTGCTAAAAAGCTTTTGAGCTCAGGTTTTAGATATATAGACTAGAAAAGTCCTAAGAGGATATGAGCGCAAGTTGCCATTTGACTGAAATATCGACTTTTTACTATAATCTTCCTATAGGACTCGAATTATCCTGTAAAATCATAGTTTCGAGTTTTGGTCTGATACTTTACACACATCAAATTCTCAATCAGGCTAGCTTGCCTACAAAGTTTCAGAATTTCTGAATGAATTATCTCCGAAATATGGATTTTTCAAAATATTAGTGCATAGTACAATATCTATAAAAAGCGTTTATGAGCTAACATACTGATATCTCGAAGAAAATTTATCCAGAAATTCTGAAAGTTTGTAGGCAAACGAATCTGATTGAGACCTTCATGTATGTAACGTTTCAAGTCAAAACTCAAAATTTTGATTTTATCGGAAAAGTCAAGTCTCGTAGAAAGATTGTAGTAAAAAGTCGATATCTCAGCCAAATCACAACTTGTACTTATATCCTCTTAGGATTTTTCTAGTCTATATACCCAAAATTTGAGCTCAAAAGTTTTTTAATACCTGAAGAGATTCTCTTCTCTGAAAAAGTCATTTTTTTTCTAACAACTTTGATTTTTAAAATCTTTTAAGTTTTTCTGTTGATTTAATACAATGACATGAAACTACTAAATATTGATTCATAATTAAATCTACGTTGGTAGAGAAAATAAACCAAAGATTTTTCACTATCATTCCATCAATTACTGTTTACTTTTTTTTTGTTTTCAATAAACTTTTCTTTATCACATTCTCAATCATGATAAGTACAACATATTTTGAAGTGTTTCAAAATAATTTGAAACTACCTTTTTTACATGATGTATATTGATTTAGATGTAAATAGGTTACTTTTCATTAGTATCTCAATACGGATTAAAATGCCCGTATGAAAATATAAAAAATTCTATTATACATACTGATATGCATTCATTTGATCATGATAATTCACTCGAAAATTCTTTTTATATCAGTTTAGAAAGGAGAAAATCTTGAAAC